AAAAACAAGCTTCAGAAAACATTGTTTTTTTTTTTGGGAATTCCGTGCAATTTTTTATGGAAATAAGTACACGTTGTTTTTTAGGATCTCATGTAATTTCACCGGAATGTCATATAACCACGTCATTTTTTTAGAATTTCGAATAGTTTTACTGGAATTTCATGTTATTTCTTGGAATTTCGGGTTTTTCTTCGGTATTTCGTGATCTTTCTTTGAAATTACACGTCGTTTGTTAGGATTTCATGTAATTTCATCGTAATTGCACGTAATTTCACTAAAATTTTGTATATTTTTTGCATTTGATGTAACTACGTCATTTCTTGAAATTCCTTTTGAATTTCATCTCTGAAATTCCATGTAATTTCACACAAATTCCATTTTTTTGGAATTCCATGTATGTTATTTCTTTGGAACTTTATATAATTTCATTAGAATTTTATGTAATTTCAGTGGAATTTCATGTAATTCATAAAAAATATTGTGTCATTTTCAAAAATTCTATGTGGTTTAATTGAATTTTTACGAAATTTCACTGCAGTTCTACATAATTTGAATTGCCTTGAATTTTGAACGTTATTTTCCCAGAATTTTATGGTATTTTCCTGGAATTCCTTATTATTCTGTGAAATTTTATGTAATTTTAATGGAATTCCGCGTAATATCACTGGATTTTCATGCAATTCCTTAGAATTACACTAGAGTTTTATTTCATTTCTTGGGAATTCCTTGAAATTTCACAATGTTTTACAGAAACCAAAATTTGTACACTGGAATTCTATGTACCTAATTTCATTGAAATTCAAAGTAATTTTTAAAAAAAAATCCACGTCGTTTTCCTAGAGTTTTATGTAATTTAACTGAAATTTCACATTATTTTTTGAAATTCTATGTAATTTCACTTAAAATTCCACCTGATTCCTTGAAACTTCATGTTATTACAATGGAATTTCTTGTATTTTTCTGATTTTTTTTTCCGTAATTCTAAGCAATTTCTCTAGAATTTTACGTATGTATTTTTTACGGCAATTTCTCAGAATCCCAAGACCTTGTTTTGTACACTTCATGGAATTTCCTTAGAATTCAAGGTTGTTCTTTTAAAATTCAATGTTATTTCCGGAACGAGTTTTCATGTAATTTTACTGGAATTTCTCAACATTATTTGGAATTCCATGTAATTTCCATAAAATTAACGTGCTTTTCTTGGAACTTTGTTTAACATTTCATTGGAATTGCACGAGAATTTCTCGGAATTTTACATCTTTTTTTGTAAACTTAAATTTTATGTAATTTATCTGGAATTTTAAGGAATTTCCTCAAATTCAATGTAATTTTTTTTGGAATCCAACATTTATTACCGAAACGGAACACAATGGAATTTCATATATTACTGGAAATCCACGTTGTTTTTTAAATTTCTATGTTACTTCAATGAAATTTCCATACTTTTCTTAAAATTCCGCTTACTGAAATTTGACGTACTTGATTACACGGAAATTCCTTAATCTTTATTGTACACTTGAATTTTATGTAATTTCATTGGAATTTCATAAAATTTTCTCTTAGAATTCAATGTAATTTGTAGCATTTGTAGCTCTTTTCAAGCTCTGAATGGCCTGTAATTTACAATATTCCTAGGTTTATAGTTTTTGAGCAAATTGAGTTTGAAGTTTGACCATGTCAAGATTTTGAAAATTTTCCAGAACCAAAAAATAAGATTTCCTTTATATTTTTATTTCTGCTTAAACTGGCCATTTGGAAATGATGCCAGGGTGGTTTTCCACTAATTTTGACCCACTCTATTGATTGGTGAAGTCAAAATTGAACAAAACTGAAAAATAAAAAAATCGAGTTTTTCCTTTGAATTCTGATTTCAAAATATTGAAACCTCTATTGTTCGGTAACCGTTGAGCAAATTGCATTGAAATTTTTAGTATTTGTAGCTTTTATCGAGCTCTGAAAGACCTGTAATATACAATATTCCCACGTTTAGAGTTTTTGAGACAATTGAGCTTGAAGTTTTTGACAAAATTTAGACTAAAAATCAACTTTGAGGCTCAATTACTCAAAAACTATTTAAGCTATTGAACTCAATTTTACATGGATTCATAGAGAATTTATTGCTCTTTCCAACGATATATAATTTATTTCAATTTGCTTGAAATTGAACAAAGATATGGGCAATTGCTCATGACCATGTCAAGTTTTTAAGAAATTTCAAGAGCCAAAAATATAATTTTCTTTTTATTTTAGTTTCTCCTATAAATGGCCATTTGGAAATGATGTCAGGGTTGTTTTCCACTAATTTTGATCCACTCTATCGATTGGCAAAGTTGAAATTGAAAAAAACTGAAAAATAAAAAAATCGAGTTTTTCATAGGGGTAACCCCCTAAGTACCCCCTTTAAATTCTGATTTCAAAATATTCAAACCTCAATTGCTTGGTAACCGTTAAACAAATTGCATTGAAATTTTCAGAATTTGTAGCTCCTATTAAGCTCTAAAAGACCTGTAATTAACAATATTCCTAGGTTTATAGTTTTTGAGCAAATTGTGATTGAACTTTTTCACAAAATTTGGACTAAAAATCAACTTTGAGGCTCAATTACTCGAAAACTATTTAAGCTATTGAACTCAATTTTGCACGGATTCATAGAGAATTTATTGTTCTTTCCAATAATGCATAATTTGTTTCAATTTGCTTGAAATTCAACAAAAATATGGGCAAGTACTCATGACCATGTCAAGATTTTGAAAATTTTCCAGAACCAAAAATAAGATTTCCTTTTTATTTTTGTTTCTGCTTGAAATGGCCATTTGGAATTATTGTCAGGGTTGTTTTTCATTAACTTTGACTCGCTCTAACAATTAGTGAAGTCAAAACAGAGCAAAATGAAAAATTAAAAAATCGAGATTTTCATAGGGGTATCCCTTTTAAATAGGTCTATAAACCTAGCAGTCCCAAGGTGGAAAAAAACTTCGGGAACTATATAATAATTAGGTGCTTTTTAGGTGCTAATTAGGGCCTCTAATTAAAAATTAGGTGCTCCTTTAGTTTTTGAGAAAATCAAAAAAAAACTAAGGGACTGCTAGGTTTATAAAAGCCAGCAGTCCCCTATAGTCAAAAATATTTTTTCAAATTTTTTCTTTGTATCAGAATTAGGTGCTTTTTAGGTGCTCCTAAATGGTCCAAGAAAAAATAGAATTGATTAATTATTAAATGAGTTACAGATTTTTTTTTAATTATTAGGGGACTGCTGGCTTTACGTTTACATGCTGGTGTGTCAGAATGGCAAAAAAACTTCGGGATCTATATAATAATTAGGTGCTTTTCAGGTGCTAATTATATAGGGCCTCTAATTAAAAATTAGGTGCTCCTCTAGTTAATAATTAATCAATTCTATTTTTTCTTCGACTATTTAGGAGCACCTAAAAAGCACCTAATTCTGATACAAAGAAAAATTTTAAAAAATATTTTTTACTATAGGGGACTGCTAGCTTTTATAAACCTAGCAGCCCCTTAGTTTTTTTTGATTTTCTCAAAAACTAAAGGAGCACCTAATTTTTAATAAGAGGCCCTAATTAGCACCTAAAAAGCACCTAATTATTATATAGTTCCCGAAGTTTTTTTCCACCTTGGGAGTGCTAGGTTTATAGACCTACCTACTTGGCTGGAAAACATATAGTTCAGATGTAAGAAATAGTGAACACTGATCTAGATAATTTGTTTAAATGGTTTTGCAACAACTTAAGTGTTAACAAGTACCTACGTCGAAATCTACTTATATGATTATACCTAAATAATGAAAGGAAAAATTAAATATTTCGGAGTCATTCATATTCGATCCATCATTTAAGTACATAATGAGTAAGTTTTCCAAAAAAGTAGATTTTATTGCGAGGATACGATATAAGTTGTCAATGGCTACTAAATTGCTAATCTATGTATAAATAATAGCATAACAGCTCCACACCTTGATCTTTGTTCCACTCTCTTGTTCAATTTGCCTAATTTTAAAATAGAGCAGCATACAAATTGTTCAAAATAGATCAATGAGAACTACTAGAGGTATAATGGATATCCCTAATTGGGACAATGCTTAATTTTTATATGTCCTTTATGTCAAGCCAAAAATTATGTATAGCGTCTATGGTTTTTCTGTTTAAAATTTAAAGCAAAATGTTACCGCTATTATGGCTGTAATATAGGGTGAAGTTTTTTGAAGATGTACATATTTCTGTAATATGCGTAATATGTATGTACAAGAAATTGCAATGATTTTGTACTGTCAGATAAAAACTTTGGATAAGTGTTGTACCACCTAAATGCTCAACTGTGTTCTATATAGAGGTTTACATGATTGCAATATGTTTCCGAACAATATAAAAGACTGTGATAATCTGGAAATTATTCAAAAAATTACTGAGAGCTCATATGTAATGTGATATTTTTGTTTTGCTATCATTAATATTTTCATTTTTATTTCCATTTTTATCCAATTCAAATTGATAGAAATCTGAAATTATCAGAGAATCTTTATCATCATCAAAATATTTACGTGTGTAAGTATGTATTGTGAAAATATTGAGGTTTTAAATTGTTGTTTTTACTTTACTTAAGCTCGGTTTAAAGTTTTGTTTATTTATTTTAGTTCTTAGTATACATAATAAATTATGAGAACATAATTTATTAGGTATGTATTGTCAAAATGGAAAATTTGGGCTTTTGGCTTTTGGGTAGTAACTTTGTACAGTCTGTGTTTTTTTTTGTTATAAATTTGAGTTGATGTAGTATGTAGTATATGTATATGTAGTAGGTACCACTAGTACCTACATTTTGATTTTCCGAAAAAATTTGAATTAGCAGTAGGTACTAAAAAAACTATTGTGCAAAAAAAAAAAAAATCATAATTTTTCAGCCTTTATAAAGGGTACATATCCCTCACTAAGATTTTGGTTGGTGTATGGACCAAATTGAAAAAAATAAAATAAAAATCAACTTACCAAGTGTCCATCAAGAGCCTCCCTCTTAAGAATCCTACTATCGTTCCTCGAACAATCGCACCCGCGAAACCGACCAATCACCATGAACAACAATAACAAAACAATAACAAAACAACCCCTAAAGCGGCACACACACCCGACCTTTTTACTGTCCATTGTCGTTTAGTTTTGTTGCCGCTGCCGCTGCTAAGAACAAAAGAGTTAAAGAGCGCTCGAGGTTTTAACGCAAAATGCATCTAGTTGTTAGCAATGGTTGCAATTTAAATGGAAGCGAGTGAATCCCGAGATTAGCCAGGGTGGCTAAAAACCCGCACTTTTAGTTGTGTTGTGGGTGAATCCGCGAACGTCATTCATTGAATCTTTTTCTTATTAATTGAGCACGGTGCGGAACTTTTCTTTTTTACGCGTAAACCGCATTATCGTAGTTTTTCAAATTACTAATCAAATTTTCCCCACATTATGTGAAACAAATAATTATAATTAAACCGCATTATTTTATTAATTAATATACAAAATATAAATTATTTATTTAACAGAAAGCGAAATTATTTTATAAGTGAACCTCGCGCTCGCGGTCTCTTTGCTCGAGGCTCGTAACAACGCAACTGAAAACGAAATCGAACGGTCGAGTGTGTGCCTTGACGGTTCAGCTGTTTACGTTATATATTTTGTGTGTTTTCAGTAGAGAAACGACCCTTACTTCCGAAAACGGCTGGAAGAACTTTGTCGGCGTCTGGGGCGCGTCGCGACGCCTCATATCAGCTGATGTGACTGGAATTAATGCCCTGGTGTGGAGGGTGGATTTTTCTTCAATGGGGAAATTTTCACTCAACTTTGTTAACATTCTCGATAGAGCATAACTTGATCATCCTTTTTTAGATTTCTTTGGAAAAGTATAGGTAAGAGTAAAGAAATTTGCTCCAAACGACTAAGATCATTAAGTTTGGATAGGTTGAAAAATTTCCGCCATTCTGAATACTTTGAAGCTTGTTTGTGATTTGTTTTTAAAACTTTGGACTCTGTAAGTGATAGGTACTATGGATTCTTCAGAGAATCATAATTTATCTAAGTACTAGAAAACACCAAGTAAGTGAATCTATAGATTTACAAATTTTAAAACAATTAAGTAGTGAAGCAGTCACTGCAGAACAAAATAAAAATATCTACATAAACGATTAATTTATTCGTGGTCTTGCCCCATCTCACATTATAGGCAGAGACTTTTAGAAAAACCGACTCTGAACCTAGAAGAAACACATAAATCAACTGATCTTTAAAAATGACTCAACAAGAGTCAGAATATTATACCTCAAATTCCTATACGTATAGGTTCATTATTTCAACATGTTAGTTTTGTGGAAGAAACAGGCACTCCAAAGATAAATGTCTAGCAAAAGATGCAATCTGTCATTCCTGTGGAAAAATTGGTCATTTTACACACGTATAAAATCAAAACATCAAAAAAATGTCAGCAGCCTCAACATCTTATTATTACTTATCGAAAACTAATTATTAAAATTGAAGTCAATCATATTCCTACTAATGCACTAATTGATATACTCTGGAAGCTCGGAAAGTTATATCTCAAAAACTTTCACAACACAAAGACATTTGAAAGTTTTTCCTATGAATCTAGATGTCACAATGACTGCTTCAAGTGCTCCAACTTTAAATTTTCTTGTTTGTGGATACTGTATTCGGGGTTGCCAACTTCTGAAATTGGTTCACCCGGAGATTTTTCAGACCTATCTATTCTACCAGACAAAGAGGAAATAATACGAAATCTTCTTTGGATAAAAAAAGACACACAACGCTCATTGCGCAAGACGAGGCAAAACGTACCGAATTATGTTAAACTTACGTATAGCAATCCGTCCTTCTTATTTGCATGGGCTAAGAAGGGAAGGAGAAAGACGGCACGTTGTGCAACGTATTTGTCAATGAAAATTTTTGAATGACACTTGTCAAGCTATGTCAAGTTGAATATCAACCGTACTTCTATTCTTGTCAGACCACGGGCAATGAACAAGAACAAGGAGATGCCCAGCGTGCAAAACGAACACCTCACACCTGTGATAGTTAACCAATGAAAAGGCCTTGCCTCGTGTTGCGCGCGCATACCAGGTAAAAATAGATAGGTCTATTGAAATAGCAAAACAAACATAAAAAAAAAACAAAAACTAAAAATAAAACATTTCATTCCAGTTACAATATAGTACACTTATTAAAACCTATACCACAATGTTAAAGAAAAAAATTTGACAGTTTTAATAGCCAATGAGATTTTCTTATTTTTTGCCATGTGACGCAAATCACCCAATCATTTCAACACTAAACTGAAAACAGATCACATGAGCTGTGTTTCTAGGTCTCTTCTCACAGAAATCAGAAACCACTCAGAGCGTTTTTGATTGGTGCAAATATCCAACAGCCAGAGTTTTCTGACTGTTTTCAACCAATGAAATTCGCTCTGACTGGTTTGTGATTTCGGTGAAAACAGATCTACTATCAAAACAGACCTTCTTTCACGTTGTCTCTCTGTATTTGCCAGTATTTCGTTAATTTGCGAAATAGTTTATATAGGGCAATTTATTGTTTGACGTTCAAGATGGCGTTGCGGCATAGCAAACTAGCTATCTTTGTTTAGTGAATGGAGAATGACAATCAATGACCGACATAGAATGGTGAATCCATCGGTAAAATTTGATGATAATAAACACGCAGGGGTCCATAAGAAACTGTGTATTAAATTAAAATTCATCAAATTAAACTCTGAAATAGGTAGAAATAACACACATTTATATGGAGGCAATGTATCAGCTGACTCGAATCGCCTAATTGCGTAATTTGAGGTTAAAATGTGTTATCACGTCGTTACCATGCCGGCATGTCATTCAATTCACATGAATTTTTAGGAAACATGTTTTATGTTAGTATCTTGGTTTTTATTTAACTCCTACGAGTTCTACCCGGAGAAATATACATGTAATCCGGAGACCAGAGAATTACCTTGAAAATCCGGAGACTCCGGGTCAAAACCGGAGAGTTGGCAACCCTGACTGTATTGTGATTATAAAAATATCAGATCATGTGTATAAAAATATCAAGATTCATGTTTCGGAAAATCTCTGTTCTGATGTTATAATGGGACATGATATTATTCAAAATCGTTGAGGAGTTGAATTCAGTTTTCGACCGTGGAAATCAATCAGAACTTTCTATTTATAATCTATTAACAGGAAATATTCGATCTTATATGCTGTTTGCAAATTTAACAGAAAATTGCCAGCTTATTGTTATTGAATCTAGACGGTTTTCTATGTGGATTTGTAGAAATAAAAATACAAAAGAAAACATCATTGTGTATAATTCACCTTGGAAGGCGCAAGTTTTGGTGACAAGCAAGTCAAATCATAAGAAACGCATGGTTGTTGATTACTTGTTAACAATAAACAAGTTCACTTTATTAAGGCTATGGTCCGAATATAACCAAACGTTAACCAAACTAACCGATTCGGTTGACAGATGGTTACTGAAAATTCCGGTTACTTAAGGAACGCAAATATGAAATAAAAAATTATTGACAGAAATTACAGATAGAACTAACAGAACCAACATTCGATAGCCGGTAACTATTTTGACATTTGGTTAACCAGATTTCAGAAAACCAACGTCCAAAAGTAACCACTTTTCCAGGAACCAAAATAATTTGATTACCTTCGGACCGCGAACCACAACTCTTGTTATATACGGACCACAGCTTAAATGAATATCCACTACCTATTATTGACAGTACCTATTTAGCCTATTTGTTATTGGCGATTTCGACTACCGTTGGGGGCGCTGGCGTTTGTAAACAAATATGGCGAAGAACGAGTAATATTTTGACGTTCATCATTGTATTTATATGCATTCGTATTTCTTTCGCTAATTTTCTCGTAGTTTTTTCGGTGTTTTTTTTACTATATTTCATAAATTTTAAACGTTGTGACTTTCTTTTGTGCATTTCGTATCCATACAATACGAAATATGGAAAATGGAGGTCTGTTTTTGAGTTTGGTCACAGTTTTATCCTACCTGCAGGCTGGCGTAGAAACCACGATCACTATTTTTTTTAGGAAAATAATGAAAATGAATAATTCTGTCTGCACCTTTTCGGGAATGACATTCGTATACACAGCAGTTTGTATTATGCTTGGACTTGGAGGCAGATGCCATTGAATTCCTGTAATAATAGCACCTCACAGAATCACAATAAAAGCTTTCCCCTTATCATTTCCCACTTTTCGACACAAAACACGTAATTTAAATTAGGAAGGAACAGAAAACATCGAAAAGCAAGAAAATATTCCAATACGGTATGTAAACAAACGATCTATTACTCTTTAAGTTAGTTCCAAATATTTCCGCCGCATTGATTTTTGAAATTGCCAATAAGATTACTTGCAAAGGTATTGTGAGACGAGTAGATATTGATGTTGACATCAATGATTTCCCTCAAATGTCCAAAGCTAACGTTCAAATTTCAAATGCCAAGAGATTGAATAGAAAAGTCTCAAATAACAATATACCAGAATATGTACCGACTAATAATATACAATCTTTCCACCTTTCGAAGCACATTTCTGCCTAAGTGGATTGATTTCAATTTATATCCCTCCAATGATGCAATGTTTTGCTTACTTACTCGATGTTCTATGGTTGCAAAAGCAAAGAAAAGTGCTTCAATTGCGGAAACAAACATCGAAAAAGACCCAAATGCAGACCCCACAGCAACATTCTCATGTGAAACCAAATGCCACTTCTATAAGGACAACCACAAATTAACATAAAAAAAATAATGGCCTATGAAAATCTGACATATTTTGATGCAGAAAAGCTCTGCAGGAAAACATACACCATAAGGAATGAGCATAACTACAACCCAAATGATTTTCTAGTTCTCCATCCATTTAGAAATACTCAGGAAAGTAATCAGAAAGAAAATCTACTCGAGCCTACACAAAACGTTCAGCAGATTTCAATTCAAGATCCAAAAGAACTTTTCAAGAAGTAACCGCCGCGGAACCAAATAAAAAAAGAATCGTTCAAAAAGGATATAACAAAGAACTACACAACAAAGCCCTATTCTCTCCAAATGCACGCCCAGGAAAAAGTGTTTTCCAGGCTCCCATATTCAACCCCAACATAAAATCCACGTCATCTTTATTTTTTAAATTTAAATGGAATCAAAATTACTATCAACGAACAACAGATAGAAAGGTAAATAAGAATAAACGTAGTTATGTGTCTTCCCAGAACGGGTTACTTTACCTCGGAAAACATTGAAGTAAGATAACTAAAGTCAATGAAGCTGAAGGTAAAGGCAAAAATGAGCAAAGTCGTAAAGGAAAGAAAAGTAGAAAAAGTAAAGGAAAGAAAAGAAGTTATTGAAACTTTGATTGTTCTGCGATGGAGAACACTAGGTAGCCTTCCCGCTGTATCCAGTGTTGTAAGCGAAAAAATTCTAAAGCATTTTTTTTTCAAATTTTATTTTATTTTTAGTTGAATTAAGAATGAGTGCTAACTCCGAAGAAAATTCTGGAACAAAACGCCGATACCAGGAAACAGTTCACACAAATCTGATGCGAACTTCATTGGTATTTTTCGGTGGTGGAATGTTAACAATAGCCTCAACCTTTTCTGGATCAGGGCCTAATCATTTGTTATCAACCAGAACCAGATAGCCGAGGTACTTTAATTCTGGCTTGCAGAAGTGACATTTTTTCAACGAAATTAGTCCCGCCTTTCGCAAGCGATCGAATACAACCTCCAAAATCGCAAATGTTCTGAAAAGGAGTTAGAAATTATTACTACGTCATCATTGTAATACATGACGTTTGGTTCGAGCTCTGGACCAAGGATAGTGTCGATGATTCTTTGCCAGGTTGCAGGAGCATTAGATAAGCCAAATGGCATCCGACAGAATTCGAAGAAACCACCTCTGCCAGGCAGTGCACTCCTTGGAAGATATACTCGAAAGGACCTGCTCAAATGGTGGAAATATATGGAGGAGGATGTGCGTCTTTTTTTGTATATTTATTGACCTGCCTAAAATTGATGCAAAATCTAGAGAATCCATCCTTTTTCCTAGCAAGGCACACAGGACTAGACCAAGGACTACTAGAACGCTCAATGACTCCTAACTTCAACATTACCTCAACTTCTACATTTATGAACTTTTGTTTGAAAGGAGAGACAGGGTTAATACCTTTGCTTTATGTGAGATTACTTTATTTCAAATGATTTCCGGAAGCTTTTTAGTGCTCTTCAATCCTCAGCAAGATTCTCACAAGCTGAAAACTACAAATCTCAAGAAAGCGAAATCAATCTCGCTTGAAAACTTCTAGAAAATATCGCACCAAGAAAGTCAGTACCTTTTCAAGGATCTCTTTCACACTCATCTAAATTCCAGATACTTATACATCTAGATAACCCTGATTCTAAAAGATAAAACAAATCAGCTCACAGAAATACAAAGACAAAACTAAAAATTATACAATGGAACCTGAGGAGTGTAAAT